AACTAAATACTGACTCGGCGGATTATGGCTGAAAAATGTGGTCCATACTAAAGGAACTGAGTCAAATGAGTTTTAGAAATGAAGACAGATAAACCACAAAGCACAATCGAAACAAACCTGAACGGCATTCTTCGAGATTGGTCCGCCAACCGGTCCCATTGAGTATGGAAGAACATACATCGTACGTCCTTCAATAAGATTTCATTAGCATAAGGTGGAATATGGTCAGCTTCAAACAGTAACAAGGCAGTTAGATCCTCTGGTACCCTTTTCGTTTTCTCTATCATCTTGCAATCACCCTGGCAAGGCCTCTCTCTTCCCATTGAAATAACCGAAAGTTACTCACAAATAGAACCTCTTATGTATAATAACTGGAGTCTATTAATGTCATGTGTATCTTTGAGACTGGACAATTGATCTCAACTGTTCCGCGGTCTTACCATTCATACATCCCGGAAATCTTGAGTCGAGTTCGGTTTCGAATTGTTTCGGATCCATCCAATGTCCCATGATTGGATCAACACCAGCTGGAGTATGACAGACTGTTTGATACTTGTCTGGAGTTATGATCCACGTTTTACTCTCTACACGAGCCACATCCTAGTGTGAAATAAAAATTATAACAAGTCTCAAATAATAACAATAACAATCGGAAATAGCCTCGTTGGAGCAAACAAATAAGATTAGAACGAAACACATTTTAGATGAAACTGAGTAAATGTCAAGTTCAATGGCCTTTCATTGAACCAGCATAGTTCTTTGACTGAACATCATTCTGATTCACTTCCAACCGACAACTATGTTCGAGGATTGTTCAAATATTATATATTCATTTCCGTTGTTCTGACTAAACGAAAACTGAGTAGAACATGAGAACACACCTTAGGATCAGTTCTAACAAGCCAGTTGTTTTCGTACGCTTTCAAAGGGAACATTTGTTTGTCATCGATAAGTTTCTTCTTAATCTCTTCTTTGTGCTCATCACTTCCGTCAACTATATAGACATCTTTCGGCTTCATCAAAAGTGCCTTCTCTACAATGAAGCGTTGCAATTTCTCCGACATCGATGCTAGATCACCCTGGAAAGTTGAATACAATTGGAATGGGACTGAAATTTATTCCATTCCATATCCACACTGACACCAATAGTTCTTAAAGTAGTAAAGCATCCTATAAAGCGATAACTCCACAAAGTATCGCACAATTCCGTTCCGACTCATGCTCGTTGGAATGTAATCACATAAAGATGTTGCCTATCCAATTGTCCAGATGTCACCTCATAACGAGCAGTTCTGAGAATCTGTTCAACTTACTTTAACGATAGGTATGTTACCAATTTTCTTCTTATCGCTGATAGCCGCATTGAAATCGGCATCGGTTATAGGTGTAAGCGATTTGCATGACATGGTTACCTGAAAATATTCAAGAAACACTGTAGTCAATCATGAGTAAGCATCGCAGCAGTGTCCTCTATCGAAACGTCTTCTGATTTGATGATAATATCGAGGATGGAAAACATAAGATTACACTGGACTATGATCTAAACGATCAAGCGTGTCTTTGAATATACCGTAACATTCCTTGAAATAACACCATTTGATTTACAAAAAATTCATCGCCTGTCCCAGAATATTGGACAGACGCCTTAGACCGATCATCATGGTTGTTTGACAGCACCAATCAAAATCATTTCGATTATCCATGACCCCGCAAGGAAACAGATTTCTTCACATCAAACACATATTC